AGCAGCCACTAAACACAAGCACACCTATCTACACACACACACACACACACACACACACACTGGACTTAAGTCTGTGGACTGTAAGTCCAGTAGACTCAGAGTGATATAGTATAGTATATTATATTTCAAGCTTAGCTGCTTTTGTCACAATGTCAACAAACAGAGAAATAGGTTTACTATTAAACTTTATAGGAAAACAGAAATGTGACCTTTATTTTGTAAAAGCATGATTTTTTTTCTAAGACATGTTTCAACTCCGTTAAACATTTAATACATAACATCACACCAAAATGTGTTTCAGTTAACTAAAAGCAGATATTCATTTTTAACACATTAAACATTGTTGTAAATCTTTTCTTTTTTCATCCTCCAGATTAAACAGTTCTGTTTGTGGTGAGAAATCTTTGTTGTGTTCAGGGAGCCTCTGTTCTTTGTGAACCACATGCATCTCCAGGAACCTTAACAGCTGACTCATAGTTATGCACATTTGTGAAGAAAAAATAAACTTCATGTCATAAACATGAGAACAGAAGAATAAGTTAGTCAAGCAATATTTTGAAATTTCAAATATATATTTTTAAAAAGTTTTCTGTAAATCACCCTTCAAATTGTTCTAAACATAACACTAACACTTTACTTTATAAAATATACAATAAGCTTGCAAACCAAATACCTGCCACAAATCCTAAAAAGTCATGTCAGAAAAAAGAGAAAAAAGCAAATAACTCCTTAGTTGAAATTTCTTTGCCTCCTTGTTGAATCTTTGCCTTCTGCATTGCAGGATTTCATCACCGTAGCAACCGTAGCACTTTAACATGTTAATACTAAAGTTCATATGCATGTACCAGCTGTACAGAGACACCATGAATAAAAAAAGAGATAGAAAAGCAGCCAGGTCTCACCTACAATGAAACAGAAAGCCAAGAAGGAGGACAGTAGAGGCAGTGAGAACAAATCACCATCAGGGTGTTTTTATATATGAGGCTTCAGTTGTTGGATGTGGAGTGGCTTTTTATGGAAATACAAGATCCTCAGTCCAATCAGCCATCAAGCGCCTGAAATATCACCATCCCCCCCAACTTCATCTCATCAAGGAGGAGCATCTATTCATTTAGGGTCCTGCTAAGAGCTGCTGGAATCCTCTACAGGGGAGTAAATGGGCTGAAAAAGTCAGAAATATATTCAAGTTTCAGGATCTGATGGTAAAAATTTCCCAGGATGGTTAGCTAAAGTTATCAAAAACTGAAATCACAAAAGAACAAAGATCTTCACTGCAGCATTAACATATCCATCACCAGACTGGGAAAGAAAAGTTGCTTCATCACTAAATAAATATCTTTAGTTCTTACCATCATGAAGAAGATTTCCCCTGTTGCAGAAGGAATGTGTTGCATCCCACAGCCAGCTCTGTTAGCGTTAGTGTGTCATGTATCCAGCTGAAGTACATTATTCCTGAGAACCAGTCACCCCATGTTTCTGCTGGAGACGTGCTTTGGAAACAGTCTGTCGCACTTCACATTCAAGCTTTGGGAGGAAACAAAGAGTTAAAGGCAGCCGGTCTCAGTGAGATGCAGTTTTACTCTCAGCTGATCCAAATAACGATCTAACATCTGCTATCACACTTTGTGCTTGACCCGTTGTGTGATGTACACCTGTCTCTAAGCTGTAAATAAAAAAAAGAAAGCAGTTTGAATCAAATTGTTTTACCTTTCTTAACACAAACACGATTACGCCGCATTTCCAGTCACCTGTGAGCTCAGAAAGAGGAACAGGGGACAGAGGTGCAAAAAACCAATAACACTATTACTCCAAATAAAGCCTTATGCACCCCTACACTTCACTCTATAAATATCACCAACTCATTTACTGCCTGGTAAGCATTTCACTTTGGCTTAATGGTTGGAGATGCGAATCTGTCCACAGAAAGGCTTCCAGATTTTTCTCTGGCTGCCAGGAGACCTCTCATATTAACACAAGTTATAAAAATAAGGGGGGGTGATTTCAGGTGGGCAGGTTTTCCAGAGTCATTCGCTCTGACCCCTGCCTGGGTGCGATTGCAATTTACATTAAACTGCAGGCTGTCTGCAAAATGTGATCTTTCTCCATTTTCCGTTTTTGCTTCTTTAGAACAAAGTCACTTTTTAAGAGGCCAGCATGTTTTGGCTCTTTCCCTGGTTTAACACATCTTGACCAACTGATGCATCAGGAGGCCTCTGCAGAACGTGGACATGTGGAGGAGGTAGTTGGGACATTTGAAACAGTGGTGGTGGAGCAGAGACATAAATAAAACTGGCAGACCCTGGAGGCCTGGAGCAGATTTAGAAGGTTTAACTTATTAGAAAGGTTTGCCAGCTTCTCCAAGTTAAGCTCCAATTCCTGGTGGAGAATTCAGGTGGTGACATCTGCACCATGACGATGGTGATGGTGATAGGAGTCTGTCCCATAATCAATGGGTTGCCAATTCAATCCTTGTTCCATTCGTCTCACTGGGCAAGACACTTCACCCTTCTTCCCTGCTGGTAGTGGTCAGAGGGTGCAGTGGCTGTACATGCAGTCAGACTGTAGCCATGGCTTCTGCATTGCCATAGCTACAATTCAGCATCAGTCATTAAACTCCCATCTTCACTCGGATCTTCGATATGTTTCTGTGAGCTTCAGAGTCTTGATAGATTCTGACTCCTTTGCCCTGTCACCTTGGAAACAGCATTCTTTTTGTGATGCAGTTCACTGATCAAGCCACCATTGCAGCGCAATCACACATCTGTACAAGTATTGATCACAAGCGCTTCGTGCACTTGCTAGCTGTTTCGAGTGTGACATCACCACAAAGTGCCACCTGCCATCTTGTGTATTCTCCTCTTGCTTTGTCTGTCATCTTCCTTGCTAGCAGACACAGACACCCCCTATGCTCTATGTCAGGAGCTTCTAATATCAGACCTCAACAGCTACTTTTAAGTCTGGTTAAAATGTCAAACTAGGTTCCTTCCGATTGAGAGGTTTTGCAAGATTTTGACATCTGTGTGGTGGATTCTCTTGTGTGGCTGTACACTCACACTGTAGGACCAAACCTGTTATATCCTTCATTTTTTTTGTCATCATGTATAGGGTTTCTCAGGCTTTGAAAATCAACAGACATAATTTTGGTGAGTCAACCAAACATTAGGTGCTCCAACAGCTGAATCAATCAGAAGAATGGTTTGTTACCAGGCCTTTGCCAAACCTGGAGTTGCTGTGAATTGATCGGCTCAGCTGTGTTGGAGCGGGAATGTGGCTAAAAGCTGGAGTTGGAGACACCAGCTCTATTATGCTGTTTCAGAACACCACTGCACAAATCTCCTCCTTCATTAATATGTTGTGTTGTAATAGCACACCTCAGCAGGTTGGTACTCATAGGATAATACAGAGACAGAAAGATTGTTGGCTGCTCTTTCCTATTTCACTATATAGTTATATAGTACACTGATTAGGTTCATTGCTGCACAAAACCACTTCCCCAATAAACAGAGGTGTTCACTGAAGGACATCAGAGCCCCCCTGCTGGGCACCCTGCCATCAATGGCACAGTGTTTGCTCACAAACCAAGCAGGTTGGCAGACGACTCAGTCAACCTGGGACTACATTTCATCTTACGCCATTTTGACCAGCCAGGGAATGTCTGAGCTGAACACCATCAACTCAGACATCCACTCGTCGGTGGATCACCAGTTTCTTGACTGACCGGCAGCGGGGATCCACCTTCTGTTACAGATAGGTACCGGCGTCCACCAGGGTTGTGTTCCCTCCCCACACATCTTCTCTCATTACACAAATGTCTGCTCCTCAGTGGGCCTCTCTGTGAAGCTCCTGAAGTTCAGAGATGACTCCGCTGTTTTTGGACTGGTTCCAGAATTAGACCCCCCTCTCCCATCCCAGTCCTCTGGAGGAACTCCAGTCTCCTTCCCTTCTTTACCATCCTCACTAAAACTTTGTCTGCTCCTGGGAATCTCTTTCGATTCCCAGGAACCAAACTTTCTCACAAAAGTGTTCGGCTTCAGTTCACTTTTTCAATCTCAGATATAACATATCACTTCACCAAGTGGGTAACAAAACACACAAGACCCTGTTTAGGCTATCAAGTTTTGGAATGGGGGCCTGTCTGACATCTATGCCTATATTTATCCTCCCTCTGTATCCACAGCAAACTTTGTGTCAGTGTCACCTTTGTTCATGCATCACTTGTTTTGAACATGATATAATGTTTGTCATCAAAGTGTTCAGACTGTAAATTTTCATAATTAAATCATTTTAATGTTGAATGTTGAAAATCTTCTGATCCTGATTTAGATTATTTAAATTTTGCAATATTTAGATTCTCTTTGGTGCATCAGTAAAAAGTGATATTAGAGGTGCAGGAATAATAGACCTCAGTCAATATCCATCAGTTGCAAATCAATGTGGTCCCATTAGTACCGGAATGCAAAAAATCTGAGTACAGTGATTCAGGAATTTAGGTCTAATAAAAATTTATTTTAATCAATTAGTTTCCTTTTCTGCCAACAGTTAAGATTTTTGGGGTTTGTTACATAAAACTACATAATACAGCTTCAAAAGTAAAGATTTCAGTCAAACCCTGTAAAGAAATCCTGTACATGAGCAACACTTTTTTACTTTTCCAATTATTACTATCAGCAACAAATCTGATTAAAACCTCTGGTGTATTTTCCTTCGCTATGATTTTCTTTGTTTAGTTTTTTCATAAGCTAATATCAAATTAAATTGCAGTACTCATGATTAAAGTCAGTAAAAAATATTTATGATTGCTTGTTAAACACATTCCATGAAAATATTGTGTTTTACGAAATACTGAAATGAAAACAATAAAACTGAAATGTTAGGAAAACAGCTCCAGAGTTTTAATTACTTCAAAATCTCATAACAGCAACTTATTTCAGCTCATGACTCCCCATGTAAAACAAGAAATCCCTTTAAAGAAGAAAACACTTTAGGTCCAACAACAAATGAGTTGAGGATTGTGCATTTAATTTCAGATTTTCTTAGACAAGATGACATAACATGCTACATGAAACAGAATGAACATTTTTATGTTGACTTCATTTTTACGTTAAACTTCTGTATTAAAGCTTTTCAAATAAGGACTCCAAAGAAAGCTTGGATGGATTTCTGTCCCTTCTATAATAGGAAAGAAAAGTATATCTCAAGTCAAGTATCAAAGCAAGGGGTGGGGGGAAGCCATTATCGTCAGACAAAAATGGGGAGAAATTTGGCATTAATATTAGTAATTCTTGTCTTTTCATAAGTTCATAAGGGAATTTACTGTGAAAAGTGACATCTGAAATTCATGCTTAAGTTCTTCCATGCAGTAATTTTGAATAAAATGTAATATGAAGGACTGTACACTCAGTTCTAACCTCATTGTTAATTTTCTTTTAAGAAGGATGACAAGTTTGACTTTCTTGTAAAACATTACGTGGATACAGTTTTTAAACTTATTAAAACTTTATCAATGATGGCCAGCTAGAGGCTGTACTTCTGATTGTCTTCAGACGATCAGGGGTATTTATAGATTCTAGATGCTTAGATTGGCTTTTTTGTTGGAAAGCATTTTGCTACAATTTAAACCTGTAAAGTCAAGAACTGAATCATTTCCTACTTGTGCAGACAATGATTTCACCTTCGATTTAGCCCTAAAAACTGTGATAAAAGGGACAGTTCGGAGATTTTTAGTGGAGTTCTGCTGAGGGGTTATGAGTTGTCAATGCTTTACTCGCTGCAGATAATTCACTGAATATCATCAAAATGTTGAAACAAAACTTGTTTCAGAAAATAATTAAGTGATTGTGTGTGACATACGTCTGCCTGGAATCACACCTTTAAAATGGTGGAAATGGACTCTGTTATGACGCTTCAAAAACCATCAATCCTTCAAATATATGCAAAGCTCTGTTGTGTCATCCTCATTCTCTGTCACACTTACTCCATGACTCAATCTTATCATTTCAAATTAAAGCTGCTTCAGCTTTATCACAACCTGCTGCAGTGATCAGAACCAGAAAAGTAGCAAGACAAGTTCATCTTCTCATTCCATGTTGATGTGTTCATGTTATAACAAAGGCATACACAATGAATGAATGAATGAATGAATGAATGAATGAATGAATGAACAAAGCTCTGATTAGTCAGTAGCTGTTTTTAGAAAGTTAATAAGTCCATAAGAACATTTTCTGCTGTAAGTGTGATATTGACTGCTCATGACCTCAAAACACCACCTCAAAAAAAAAAAAAACCCTCATTCTGTTAGGGCTGTTAGGCTTTGATAGATATAATATTTAACTGTCAAACATCTTCTTCCTGTCAGACTTGTCTTCAATGTTCTTGCGCCAATCTCCCACGTCACGTAGCTGCTTGTCCTAAAAACACAAAAAAGAAATTCTTAGTTTTTGCAGTTGAAAAATCAAACGTACAAATCATCTGTGAGGAAGCTGGTGTTAACATCGACATCTTTAATTATTTCTATATCGTATCCTCTCAGATAGAGGCCAAAACTAAATCGAAATGATTTCTAAAGAAGGGCAACATTTGAGAGATCTAACCAAAAAAAATAAAGTGGAAGTTTAGAGTTTAGTTAGTTTTCGAAGAGTTTGTCCATGTTGAACAGCTCACCTCCTCCTTGACCTCCTTCTTGACCTGCTTCAGGTTGGCCCTCAGGTCCATGTTGACCGTGTGTTTGGAGCCCAGCAGAGCCTTCAGCATGGCGTCAGCGGACATACGCACCTTCTTCAGTCGTGGTCTTTTGAACTTTCCTCTGAGATCCACGATCTTGATGTTTAGGTCCCTGACCTGTAGAATGGTCAGGAAAGGTTGAATTAAAGTCACCAATCAGAACTCTGTCTTCCGAAGATGGTCATGTTGTCTTCTGAGATCTGCTACTAATGGAGCTGGAAATCATTTGTAAACATTTCTTTAAAAGTTTATAAAGTGCAGACAAAGAAAATGCGGGACTCAAATGTCTTTCCAGAGCACAGATCCTCAAACCTCCATCGTCCAGCTTGGTCTCGCTGATCTAGTGAGGCTTCCTGACATTCCTAAGGTTGCTCTGAAACATTCTCTCAGTCATATGACCCAAAGTCTCTTCCCAGTACAACAGGTCAAAAAACACCTTGAACATTTATAGAAAAACCCATGCTGAGCACTACCACTTTGAAGTCTTCTTCCGTTATATTAGCTTCCACACTTCAAGAATGCTATGTTCTCAACTCATCTACTGCTATTTAATTATGTTGCATTCACCGAACTAAAGGAAGAATTAGAGATGCACAATATTATCAGCATGGTATCGGTATTGGCTGATATTAGCTGTAAAATTTAATATCAGACATCGACCATTCAAAATGATTCATGGACATAAAAGGAGTTGCTTGACAAACCAGAGACAATGATGCCTGCAGCTCAGCACATCATCATCAGAAACTGTTAAGTATTAATGCATGACTGATGTGCTTTTAACTCGTTTATTTTATGAAGATTTACAAATTTGCTCTGGTTGAGTGTTGTCATTGTCTTAGAGAGAAGATGTCATGAATAAATTTGACATTATACATAATGCAAGTTGAAGGTGTTAGATCATTTTCAGCCTCCTTAGCATTTGCTTTTGGCAGCAGGCTAAACTGACAAAGATAATGTAGTATTTTAATTCCACAGCAGAGAAAGCCATATAGTTTCAGTAAGTAGGTATAGGAAAATAATATCAGTATTGATATCGGTTATTGGCCAAATAAGTCTTAGTATATCGTGCATCCCTAGAAAGAATTATTCTATTATTAGCAGATTATTGTGAGAGAGCTCAACATGTGGAATCCCGGCCAGTTTCCCTCCAGACAGAACCAGCAGACTGAGGCGTCTCACCTCATTGAGGACCATGTTCAGTTTGAATTCTGTGCAGTATCTCTCCTCTTCACTTATATTGATCTGCTGATGAAGTTTCTTGCACAGTTCCTGAGAAACAAAATAAAAAAATAGAAAAGATGTAACAGATTTTTGTTCAGAATTTTGCAATATGAAGGCCCATAAATAAGTCACAAAAACATATCCATATCCAAGAAAAGGTCAGGAAAAACTTTTGCCTTTTTTGTGAAGGTATGTCATTATAATACCAGGACAATATTCTGACAGTTTTCTTCTCACCACTAGTTCTTCCCTGGAATATGGCACATCCAAAGGAGGACATTTCTCTGCCAGAAACGTCTCCCTCTCTTTGGCCTTCACTTGAGATTCAGCCTCCAGTAAGTTGTTTGCGACCACAAGCATGCAGCTCTGCAAAAAGAAAAAGACCCTTCAGAAAATACACTGATTGAGTTCAGGCACAAGTATAAACATGTGTTCTTGGATCGAATGTTGTGCTAAAGTGTTAATATTTACAGTAGCTCATGGTCACACACACGCACGCACACACGCACGCACGCACATACGCACGCACATACGCACGCACACGCACACACGCGCACACACACACACACACACACACACACACACACACCCACGCACACACGCACGCACACACACACACACACACACACACACACACACACACACACA